GATTTTCTTTGTCTTTGGTCTTTCACAGTTTGAATATACTATATATATGGATTTGTTCTTGTTTTTCCTGCTTGGTTTTTTTTTCCTTAGCCTCTTGGATCCATGGTAGAGTTTGTCATTCATTTGGGAAATATTTAAATAAATTATGTCACCCATTATTTATTTAAATATCTCTTTGTTCTGTTTCTCTATCACTTTTCCTTCTGGAGATTACACTTACACACACCTAGGGCTATCTGACAGTGCCTCACTAATCTTGCATGTTCTGCTCAGCATCCCCGCTACTCTTTTTTTCTCAAAGTTTCAATTTGTGTAATTTTTTTTTTTTAGTTGAAGTATAGTCAGTTACAATATGTCAGTTTCTGGTGTACAGCATAATGTCCCAGTCATACACACACACACACACACACACACACATATATACATATATATATATATATATATATATATATATATATATATATATATACACACACACATATATTTGTTTCCATATTCTTTTTCATTAATAATTTGGGTAATTTTTGTTGACCTGTCTTACTGCTCACAGATTCTTTCCTCAGCTGTGTAACGTCTACTGAACAGCCCCTCAGAGTCATTCTTTATCTCTATTATTGTGGCTTTTTTTTAATTTCTAACATTTTGATTTGACGCTCATAGATTTTTTTTTTCTCTCTGCTGAAATCAACCCTCAGCTCCTGGATGGTGTCTATCTTTTCTACTAGAGTCTTTAACTTATTAGTGAGTTATTTTAAATTCTGTGTCTAATAGCTTCGATACCTGTGTTGTCTCTCTGGTTCTGTCACCTGTCTTTTCTCTTGTCAATGTGTCGGTTTCCTCCTGTCTTTTCTTACGCCAAAAATATTTCTGTTGAAAGCCAGCCATCTTGAGTAGGACAATATAGACTAAGGTACATCGTTTTGATTCCTGAAACTAGGCAAGCTTTTTCTTTTGCTGTGGGGGGGTTTGGACCAGTCTAGTCAGGATCTGATGTTGCCATGGTTACCCTGCCTTCAGATTTCTCAAGTCATATCTTGTGTTTATGGTGGGGCTGGTATTTCTCACTGTCTGCTGCACCCTTTGAGCTGTGCCTCATGTCAGCAAGGTTCTCTCTCCAGGTTTTTGCCCCTTGTCTAGCAGTAGAGTGCAGTGTGAGAAGGGGAGCCCAGAATGGTAATGTTTCTGTTACTCTGATTAAGGCTTTATTTTAGGCGGGTGCTGTGTCCCTGAATTTGAGTGACCTCCCCCAGCTGTGGTTCTGGATTCAGCACATATTCCTGCCCTTCCCCCTGAGAAAAAAATGGTTTATTACCTGTTTTCTGCCCCCACCTCAAACTTTACTGGGGAAAGGCCCAGTGCTCTAAGGCCAGCAATGAGTGTGGCCCTGCCCTCTGCAGTTTCTTCCTTAGTACAGAAGGCAAAGGTCTGTGAAGGACACTTTTTCAGAATTCTAGCCTGCAGGTGACTGTGAATTCCCCTTATATCTGTGGCCCCCAGAGTTCTGCATTTTTTCCCTAGGCTACACCCTTCCTTTACCAACTTGTCAACAATCTTAGCTGAATTCTTCTTACTGGGGTCCAGCTGAGTCTGCCCCAATAAGCACACAGCCATCTCTCCTCAAAGGCACCTTAGACTTGGGGCTAGCCAGTTGCCTATGACTTAGGTCTCTCATGGGTTAAAGGAGAGTTCTGAATTTGTGGTTCGTCTGGCTGGTTGTGGTTCTGCCGGTGGGACGTGGCTCTTCCAGCTTTTTCCATCCCAAACAGGAACCAGAAGTCTCCATTCTTTTTTGGAAAATAAGTACTGAACGTATGTTGCTGCTGTGGCTCCCCTTTGTCCAGGCGAGTCTGAAAGGCTGCTTCTATGTTTCCAGGTTGAAAGGTAGGAGAGTTTTTTCAAAGGCAAAAACAAAGTTTGCAGGCTTATTGTGAAAAGCATGGTTATTTGCCACCGGAGGGCAAGCTACTGCATCACTACCCCCTCTCTGGGGGCGGCCAGGTTTCCACCAGGGAGAAGTTAAGTGTGTAAAGTGAGAGGCAGAAGCATCCAAAGGACCTGATGCTCACAGGGGGCCTGTTTGCGAGGTCTCCCTAGCCTAGACAGCTACAGGTGGGGCTCCCGGGCCCTGTGGCCCCGGCCCTGACCCGCAGGGCACGGCTCTGCCCTCGCAGAGAAGATGCCTCCCGACATCCGGGCTCAGGAGCCTGCTAGGTGGCCAGCCTCTAGCGTCTTCAGGTGATTCCAACTTTCTGCTTTGTGTGTTGCGGGGCAGGGAGAGGTCGGTGGGCAGGCAGGCAATTCCAGCCCAGCTATTGAGTGTAGGAATTCCTAGGAGCCCTTTGGTAGGAAGGTGAGGCCGAGGGAGCTGTTCAGCTGTACTACTTAATTTGGTTTGTCTAAAACAAAGAAACCAAAATCATAGTGCTTCAAGGCAACAGAAGTTTGGTTCTGATCCAAATAGAGTCTAAAATAGGTGTTCCTGATTGGCAGGCAGATTCCTTCCAAAGGTCCACCTGTAGGTCCCCGTCTTCATAAGGCACCCCGGTGGGAAGGGGTGAGGGAGACAGCCCCCCCACCCCTAAACACATGCCCAGAACTTCCCACAGAGCTTCTGCTCCCGGCCCATGGGTGCAAGTAAGCACCAGCTCCTTCCTAATGCTAGCAGCTGGACAGACACTCCCAAGGCACCTCTCCCCTGGGTAGGTGGACAGCCAGACCCCAAATCACCCACACTGCACCCACAGAAACTGCTCCTAACAGATTATTGTTCGAGAACAGTGTCTTCCAGATTTGCTTGCTTTTAAGAACCACAGAGGGTGCTTATTTAAAATAGAGTCCTAGGATCCTTTTCCTGGACACTCTGGTTTGGCCATCTGCCTGGGAGCCTGGAGTGGGCACCTTTACCGAGCCTTCCAGGGAGTCATGCAGCCCTAAAAGGTGTCTACGGAGGGAGCCTCTACCCCCTGTCCCCACCCGTGGGTGGGAAGCCGGGCCAACCCTCTCTCTTTTGTTGTTGTGACTCATGGAAGTATGGGACTGGCTCCTGGGTGTGACTATCCTGAAGCTCAGCCCTGGGTAGGGTGGCCTGGGTATTGTGACCAAGTCAGGGCAGATCAAGCCGCCCCTGCTCTCCCAAACCAGAGCACCGCAGCCTAGTCTCTATCCAGATTAAATGGAAAATCCGGAGCCCAGCTGTGTTTCCCTCCTCTGGGGTGTAAGCCGGGGTGGGGCAGAAGAGGATGCTCTGGGGTCACATTTTCTCCTTAGCAACACTGGAGGGCAGCAGTGAGTCAGTGTTGCCAATTTCCCATTCACAAATCAACTTAATGAGATTCAGACTTAGATGTTACGTCTTTATTATTACTTATTTATTTGCCTTTGTGTTTTTGCCATGGCACCCTTGTGGTGAATCACAGGGAAATGACACGTGGTGGGTGTGGGGCAGAGGAGGAGGGAAGAAGGGGAGGGTAAACCCTGGGCAGGAGGAGGGCCCTTTGTGTGCTGGAGTGGTGCCCAGGCACTCACTGTCCCCAGAGATGAGGCCCTTGGTGCCAAAGGAAAGCAGCCTGTGGGAGGCACCATGTGTTCAATCAGGGCTGGGCAGCATCTGGCCGCCAGCAGACGAGCGAAAGAGAGGCACTCCAGTGCTGGAATGGGTGAGGATACGCCGGAAACGGGAGCCCCCGTGCCCCACGAGCTGTCAGCTCCTAGCCCACTTCCCCACCTGTAAGGGGACCCGGCCACACCTGCCTCCTCAGCTGATGGGATGGCAGAGGTGACAGCCCCTGGTGGAGAGGGGTCTGAGTGGCACATCTGAGGATGCACCAGCGCCCTGCTCTGCACCTCTGCATCCCTGCATCCCCCAGGTTTGGGCAGGCTGGCTCCCCAGGCACCAGCCAGCCACTGGCACGAAGCCAGGAGGTCTGGCTCCAGCAAACAAAGCAGCTGGCATGGTCAAGCCCAGGGGCCTGATTCGAAGCTGAGGGGTGGGACTTCCTACAGGGAGCCTTCCCTCGGAAGCTGCCACTCAGAGAACAGAAGTGGAGAAGTGGGGTCGCCACCTTCCTGTTCCTCTGTCCCTGACAACAGGAGTCAGCCTGTCCCTAGGAAGCTGATCCTACTGGGTCCACCGCAGCTCACTCAGCTCTTAGCAGATCCCAGACACACCTGTAAACACTGCCTCCGACACAGCCTCTGGGAGGTGGGCCATCATCTTGCCCACCGGGGCAGGGCGGTAGGGGGTGGGGAGTGGAGGCGGCTTTCAGTCAGGAAAAGTTTTGATGAATCAACCCTTTGGTGTAGTGAGGGGCACCTCTCGCCTCACTGCCTTCTCCACCTACCTGTTCCCTCCCCGGAAGGCTGGCTGGCCTATCCTAGAAAGGCTTGTGACAGATCTCTCAGCCTGCTGTTTCCCCCCTCAAGGGGCTTATCACCACCCGATGTCACCTGTTTATCCTTCCCTGGTACAGAATGTGAGCTCCCTGTGGCAAGGGCCACCGGGTCCCTGGGTCCCACACCAGCACAGACTTGCTGAATGAACTCAGAAATGAGCAGGTCGGCAGGCAGCCCTCACTCCCTGTCTCTGGAAGGAGATGGGTGGGCCTGGCCCCAAACTCCCTGGGAGGTGACCTTGCACAGTGCACTATCTGGCCTGAGTCCCTCCTTATAAATAGCAAAAGGCTATTTTTTATTAGCTGCCCAAGGAGGGCACCCGCCTGCCGACAGCCCACGTCAAGGCCAGGCAATGCCTTCAACTACTATTAAGCGTCCACAAAAAATAGGGCATTTTTTTAAAAAACCATTAGTAGAGGATTGGAAACCCACGGCCTGAACGCTCCTGCTGGCATAGACGTCCTGTGTACGCCTCTGTTCGGAGTCCTTAATCACAGAGACACCTGGTCTTGGTGGCCCTGGACTGTCCTGCCTGGCGGTTGCTGGGACTTCGAGCCTCTGGTCCCGCCTGTGGACCACCTGGCATTGGTCTCTCTTCTGCGTTCCAGCCGTGATCCCCCTGACGGATTCGGAGCACAAGCTGCTGCCTCTGCACTTTGCGGTGGACCCCGGGAAGGCCTGGGAGTGGGGAAGAGACGACAATGACAATGCCCGGTTGGCCCAGTAAGACCCGACCCTGTGCCCCTGCCCCACCCCCGGGACCTCCGGGACGGGCTGTCGCTGGGTTTCCCGGGGACTGAGCTGCCAAGGC